CGTCCATCCCTGTGAACTCTGGGACAGAACCTAATGTAAACTAAATTATTCTTATTTCAACCATTGCGTATATTAGCTGCGACATATGAATCAAGATGCTATGACCGAAAAATTTGATTGACAGATGACCGTTGATATATGATTGGCCGAATTTATGTGTACAAACTGATGTATAACTAACTGGCCTGCATAAGATAACGAAAAACAAAAACACAGATTTTAAGACAGGATTTTTTTTTTAATAGAAATTTTTTAACTTTTGGGACGATATCGTCTGATAAAGAGCACATTTATATACATGTTTATGCCAGTGATTTGACATTTAAATATGAATTCCCTACGACTTTAAATATATGTCATGTAGCCTTCATTAGACTCCCTCAACTAATAAGAAATAAGAAATGAGGCATGGCTTTTTTTCATGAACTACAGTTTTTCAGCCCATAAAGGATGTATTTGTGTTGGGTTTTTTTGCAGCAAAAAAAAAAAGAAATCCTGCTGTAGTTAGTGTTCAAATCTCTGTATTACCTGACAGAAAATGTTCAAGGCTTCCATAGAGAGCATATCACATGTCCTGCTCTGACACCGTGAGCTTTACACACATTTGGTTATCCGTTTCAGTGGTTTGGTTAAACAGTTGTGCACCGAACAACACACTAAGCTGCAGCACAATAAACCTGTGATAAGAGAGATTAGCGTCTAAATAAAAGGCCAGAGGCTGCTTTCATGGGATTTTACTACTTATGGTGAATGATCTGTGTCACACAAAGCTGCAGCAAAGTCAAAACAGTTTGGATTTAAACCATCTTTCTAGTCAAAGTAGACTAATTTTCTAAAGCCATATGCTATGAAAGAAATGAAGAAATATTTTAATGCTATAAATACGATATAAATGTGATTAAGTCCCTTGAAACTTTGCAGTTTGTCAAACTAAACCCCCTTAACTTTTAGCAACCTGTTGTAGGGATTTTACCAACACAAACTAGTGCATGATTGTAAAGAGGAAGGAAAATGATACACAGATGGTTTTCTAAATTCACTTCAGTTACAGATTCCAGGTGCACCTCTATCAGGTTTTTTTATGCCTAGAGACAAAATGTTTTGCCAGTTCTTTGTAGAATGGCCTCAAACATATTCAGGATGCATTAAGGTTTAATATTATTTTTTTAAGTTCTGCCACAGATTCTTTATTGATTAAGATCTGGACTTTGACTAGGCCGCTGTAACACATGAACTATTTCATTAAACTTCTCTAACTGGTTTATTCCCTATCCTCTGACTAAGCTTTCCTGTTCCTTTGGAAAATCATCAACACAGCATGATGCTTCCACCCCCGTGTTTCCACCATATATTATATTTTAAATAGGAACATTTTAATCTAGTATAACTAGAGTATTTTTTTCTACTTACTTGACTTGTGACAAACCACTTACGGATTTATTTGAACTCTTCTGACTCATCTTTTGGATCTATGCTGTTTCCCCTGAGCTCCTAAAGGCATTTTACTGTAGCAGTCTGACTAATGTCCTCCTCGTTAGTCTAGGTGTGTGTTCCTATCTTAGGCTAGCACCATATGCTGATGAAGGTTCTCAGTCATCCAGGTCATAGTCATTAGCATATGTTACAGGTTATCTAAACGGCGGTGCTGAAATCTTCAAACCTTGTAAGTTTGGTTTTTTTTTAAGCTCAGCCTTCTTTAAACACCTCAACAACCATTTCCATTTTGTCTGCTGTCTTCCTTTGTCTTAACAATGCTTTCCAAGTCCAGGTGGAGTTTATTTATAAATTATGAGATTTTTGAAGGAAATTGGTCACATTTTTTATTTTCATATTTGCGTATCGAGCAGAAAAAATAGTGAATAAATATTCACTCACATCTTTTTACGCTTTTTGTCAGTAAAAGATTCTTTAAATTAGCCATTAAATCCTTCCACTTCACTATTATGCTCTAATTTGGTGTGTTTGATGACCTAATATCACAATTAATATGACAGAATGTAAACATTAAAGGGTATGAATAGATTTACATGGAGACATTTAGCTTGAATCTGTTCCCCAATGACCTTATTCTCTTAAGGAAGTGGGGAAAAAGATTTTTTTTGGGGTGTATCATACATAGATAAATGGGCTGTTTTTTCTAGCTTTTAAATTCTCTCTGTTAATAAAATAATAGAGTAGCTATACACAAACCTTTTTAAATAAAACAATGTTTTTTTAAGAGCTGATTTTCATATTGCAGTCAAGCTTATCCTTTTCTTCAGAGTTTGAGCTGAAAAGCAGCCATGAGTTGTGAGCCGAGGTAGCGTTACAGTCTGATTAATAAAGTCTGATTAAAATGCAAAATTCAGGAAAAATGTGAACAACTCAACAGGAATTTGTGAACTGAAGAGAAACTGTTTAAAATGTTATTTTCTACTTTTTGCAGAAGAGTATCGCTGCATACGCCACCACTCCGATAACGGCCACTAAAGCAGCGCCTCTGAACAGCAGCTCAGAGGAGCTCAGAGGTTTGGTCTTAGGTGCACCGGGCTGCGGCTCCAGCCTCTTCAGTGGTGTAACGCCAGCTGAATGTTCTCCATCTTCCTGAAGGGGGATCTGTGAGAATTTGGCTTCAGGAATCTCTTGAAGCTCTGGAGCGTTTGGTGACAGGATAGATGGAGGGTGAAGCCCCAGAGTGGAATAGTGCTCGTCGACTTCAGAGGCGGTGGTCGAAGGGACGGGGGTGGACGTCGTGGAGGGGGGGTCCAGTTTGACAATAGGCAGCAGAGGCAGGGCCATTGGGGGAACCACATGTCTGAACTCTGCAGGCTTGCTTTCCGCGTGACTTTTCTCTGTGGACACCAGAAGCTCCGTTGTCTCTGTATCTTGGAGGTCCTGCTTCTCCAGCTCCCTCTCCAAACCCAGCATGCTCAGCACATTTACCCTCAGCTCCTCGTCCTCCTCCTCATCCTCTTTTCTAGAACTCCTTCCGTCTGTTTCCTCAAACATCTCTACCTCCTCCTGCTCTAGATGGACCATGTCAGAGTTGGAGGAGTGGTTCTCATCCCCAGCTAAAACGGGCCCGTCGTTGCTGTCCAGGCTCTTGGTGTCCTCAGGGTCCATGTCGCCCATGGTGGACCAGGACTCTGCCAGCAGGCTTTCACTGTGCCAGGGTCCAGAGGTCTCTGTCTGGGTGAGAGGCAGAGAGGCAGGACTGCGGGATCCAACCTCCGTGCCTCCCCCACCCCCCCTGCTGGACTCGACTGGGGCCTTTCCCTCCAGAATGAAGGCTGGCTGCAGAAAACAGAAATCAGGTGTGAAAAACTCACAATAATGTTCTTTGGCAATACAGCTCCTTACAATAGCATTAAAAACCTGTTAAAATGCAAACATAGTCCTGTTTTACAATGGCCTCTTCAAAGCAGAGACCCAAACCTGAATGAGAACCTTTGAAAATTAGGGCTGCAACTAACGATTATTTTACAAATCCATTAATCTGTTGATTATTTTTCCAAAGGTTCCTTAAAATAGACTTTTTAGGGGGAAAAACTAGGTGAAACTAAAACCTTTCCGCTTAAGTTCTGGATGGACCATATTGATCGATAAAAAAAGTTTTTTGTTTTTTTTTAATCTTAAATTAAAAATGTTTTTGTTTTTTTACAATTTTGGTATAATTACTGCTCTAAGTGCTCTGTCAGCTAAAGGCATGTTTTAGACACTATATTATGGGAGAATTATCCTGCCATAATGCAAGAGCATATAATTTCAATTTGAGAAAAGAATTTATCTTCTTAAGGTAATAATTAAGATAATAATTTAATATGTCGGTTCTTTGCTTTTGTACATAACAAACCACTAATTGTTTAAAATTGCTTACTTTATCCATAAGTACTGAACTTTGCTGAATCGAGCCACAAAACTACTGTAAATAGTAGTTTCAGCTGATGCTCTTATAAGTGGCGTAGTAACACAGGAACACTCAGTAGGGTTAAACAAGCGCACCCTTTCTGAGGCTGTCGTTCTATTGGCTGGAAAGATTGCTAGGCGGCGATCCAACTGCAATCCGAGAGAGAGCAAAAAAAATCCGCAAGCAGAGCCTACGGGTTTGCGAGCGTATCTGAGACTCGTGCAGAGCGCTGTTTGTGCGCGAAGAGAAGGAGGCAAGCGAGAGGAGAAAATATCTGTGCAAGAAGCATTAAATCTGAGAGAAGAAACAAAGATTTGAGAGAGAAGAGAAAATATTTGACAGAGAGCGCATGTTTTGAGTGTGAGCATTATAAGTTTTGAGTGCAAGAAGATGAAATTCTTTTCTCAAATTGATATATGATATATACTCCAGTTAATAGTTAATTTATTTTAAAATTTGTAGATTTTTTTCATTAATCGGTTAATCATAATTAATCCGATTAATTGTTTCAGCCCTAATGAAAATACACAAAACTGATGTTCACATGGTCTCCATCCAGACTAACTGAGCTTTAGGGCAACATCTTCAGTTTTACTGCAATAGAGGCTCTTCCTAAACTCAACATTCAACAGATTATTCTAATTATTATTATACTTCATATAAAAAATAATCCAGTTTTTCAAGACAGTATAACTGACTTGCATTGATTCTTTGCTTTACTAGATAATTCCTCTGGTCTGCAGCCTCGGTGACGTCAGCATGCCTGCCTCTGGAAAAAATTGCTCACTTGCTCCTATGTGCCGCTATCTTTAGCCTTGCATATCTTGCTATGTTTAGGTGCTGTATACATATCCATCTGCCAATCAAGAACTGGAACCTCACAGCTTCAAATGCCACCTAGAGTAGTAATCCAAAATCTACCCAACTGATTTAAGGTGCGTACTTTGAGTTCATATTCCAACCTTAAAAACGTCTATCCCCTAAAAATCTAAAGGTCTTTTTATCATGAATTTTTCAGAGATGAGCCTCCAGGTCACGTGTTGACCTTCTTGTTGCAAAACTTTTGTTACTGTAACTCGTACCCCTCATGCCAGTCCTAGAATAGATATTTGTAACACTCTCTGCTCGCTATTGTATCGTATTCACTGCATGATGTTCTTCAGAGCTGTCTCTGGTTTCTGGGCTGGTTTCCTTATGAGGAATAATCCTCATACCCGTCTTCTCTGGGCGTCAATCTGTGTCATATTTGCACTTAATTTCCATAAACCGGGGAGACTTAAATCTGGGTTATGTTACTCATTAAGTGAAGCAAAATATATGCAAAAAAATAGATAAGTGACTGCAGAACTTAAACTGCTACAGAGTTCTTTCTGATAAGGCTAACTATTAAAATTTTAACACCAATATCTAATAAAATCTGTGTTTTATTAGTGTTTTTAGATTGGATAAAATTTTATGAAAATAAAACGGATTAAAATTTTAATTTCATTATTTTTATTTGGTGAAAATTACATCTACTTTATTATTATTCTACCTAAATCTATCAAAACTTCATTACGTTTGTGAAGCTGATATTTGTTTAGTTTATTTAAAGCTGAATTAAATGGAGCTGATTAGGCTGAAAATTAATCTAATTCAGCTGAACTTTGAATTTGAGTTGAAATAGAAACTTTTTTTTAAATCAATATGATTCAGTTTAACACTTATTGGGAATTACATTCCAGCTAATTTAAGTTGAATTGAATATTAATTGTGTTTATTTTAAACCTTCATAAAATGAACAAAAGTGCGTTTTAGTTGATCTGAGTTAACAAAAGCATGTTTGATTTTATATCTAATCAATGTTAAATGATTCAGCTGAACTCATTCAGTTAATCCTACAGTTGAACTTAAAGGTTATGAATTTTATTTGGCTCCATTTGAGCTGAATCCAGGTTTACACCTAATTTCATCAAATATTTTTTTATTAAGTTAAATTAAATTTCAATTGTTTACGTAACTGTAGTTGAAAGTTCAATTAGAAAATTATTAGATACATTTTTGGGGTTAAATTAAAGCAAAGTTAAACTTAATCTAGTCAATTCACACAGATTTAAACTAAAAAGGAACTAAAAATGATGACAGCAAATTAAGATTAACATAGTTACACTATTTTAAACATTAACCTGTTGTCTTTTGTGTTTTATTCTCTCTGTTCATTGATGTGTTTTTACATGTTTAAAACAATTAAACCCAAACTTACTCAACCTTAAATTAAATATAAAGGTATATTACATTATATTTTTACAAACACAATATTAATCTGAATGTTGAATCGAGTTTAAAATGTCACACTCAAAATTTAACTGAACTAAATTTAATTGAATAGGGTTACGATGAAAATAAAACAAACATTGCAATATTTTTGGATGCAAACATGAACTATAATTTCAGAGCCAGCATTAATGGTCTAAAAATGTGCAGAACATTAAAGCAAGTTCTGCCGTATATACTTTACATTTTAATAGAGTGTGCAAAATATGTGCAAATATAGAAATTATTAAAATCCTGTTTGCAGATAAATGTCTAACCTTTTAGTGTTTATTGCTTGTTCAGTCGTTGTCACTTGTTTACATATGTGAAGCATTCATTTATCCGTCATGGTGTATTGGTTTTTTGTTGATGCGCTTAGATTTTTGCACAAAAGTATAATTTAAAGTGCTTGACAGATTTAAAACATGGATGCAGGGATTTCTCCAAACACACATTTCTCCAAACCAACAACTTTGGCCACTTATGCAAGAATGTTTTGTTATTTATGTTAAACTTTTGGAGACTGGTAGCAAAAATAGACCAACACCAGTTTAATAGATTAATGCGAGTGACACCATTAAGATCAAAGGATGACTTTAATATGATCATCATGCCTAAGAAAATGAACTCCACTATAAGTTTTTGTGTCCTGTAGGCCTGTGCAGACTGTAGCAGCAGCTTGCCTCATCTGCATCTCTACAAGCTCAGAAGCAGACCCTGCAGCCCCACATTCATATGTGGTTTCCAGCTGATCCTTTACATCAGGAGTAGATTGTGTTGATTAAATAATGAGATTTAGGCCCAGATTTCTGTGCTAACATGCAGCCGACAGGTTAGAGAAGGTCAGCTTTCAATGTCAAGTGAAAGATTCCTGTTTGCTTCTCGTCTTTTGGAACCCTGGCTGCACCGGTTTTGCATAACACCCAGAAACAATTAGCAGTTTTACTCTGGACAGAATAACTCATCAATATTTAATGAAACTCAAAAATGATTGGTAAGAAAAACAGGAATACCTCTGTCCTCTGTGGAAGAGTTGCTAGATGAGGAGCAGGTCAAAGTGTGACGTGCATTCAGAGACAAAGCCACAGATCAGCAGATCGGCAGAAATGCATTCTGGCGCTGGTAAGGGAATAACAAGGTGGACAGGCTGTGCACAAGTGTCTCTCCCTCTCTCACACCCACCCACCTCACAAATCCATGACATAACAGTTGGCAGTAGTTGAGTCAATCGTGACTTTGCTGATCATCCCAACTGGAAAAGCATGGACAGTAAAGTAAGTAGACACGGAAAATAGGGGTAAAAGAAGACTGACCTTCTAATCAAAGTTTAACCTTTGTGTTTGTGGCCTGTAAAGAGGTCAGCAGATCTGTGATCAGTGCGTTAGAGCTTTACTCAGGTAAAGAGTCTGTGGAGTTTCACACTGGCTGTCCTAACAGATTAGAGAGCACAGCAGGTGCTGCTAACACTGACATGAGTGGAAAATGCTTGACAGACCGGCAAAGAGCTATTTCTAATGCCAAACTTTCCAGCTACTAGCTCCCCCTGCTGGCAGCACTTCAAAAAACCCAAACACCTCAGGTGTGTCAGGAAGATTTTGTCATGCAGTCACAGAATTTTTCTTTTTTATATAGCATGCTCAGTGTTTTTCTACTTTCATAAATCAATCAGTCTTTGTACAGGTTATCTGCCTTTAATCAAAGTTTTTTATAAATGGCATATTTTAGTGCTATGTTTTACAATCTCATGCTTCCCCTTTGTTCGTAACTTCCTCTGTTTACTGTCATTAAAGCAGCTATTGACTCTGTATAAATAGTTTAGGAATGTTCCAATGAAAAAAATTTGTATCTTTATCTGAGTACTTAAGCAAATACAAAGAATGTGACGTTACAAACAAGGAAAAAAGGTGATATACTATAATGTTCATATACGAAATCACATGTACACAGTAATGGTGGTTAAGATGTAAAAAAAAAATTCTTTCTTAAATAGTTCTACAGATTTTTACAAGTGCTGCATCCTGTATATTTAAGGAGGGATTCAAAGTCATAATCTAAACTTCCAAGATCCTTGTTAGTCTCAAACTTCTAATTGTTAATTAACATTTATAAAGGAATTAGCTGAGGTAAAAAGACATTTTATTTAAACTGTTAAGACTAAAATATGCTTGATCTCATTAATATGACTGCAAAATACTTTTTTGTCAGCGATATGACTGAATATACATGACTGCACAAATGTATAGGACTTTTAAAGTCAAAACTAGGATTTCTTTCTTATCTTATATTTGTGTAATAATCTTTGGTATTTATGAGTTGTAATATGTTTATGATTCTGAATCTTAAAATTGAACATCTAAATGTAGAGCTTTTTTTGTACATTGAGTTGTCATAATTTGGATTTTACATCCTCTTTCGTTCTCTTATACTTATAACTTTGAACTCACTATTCCTGTAACTAGGGCTCTAATTTTTTATAAATCTCATTTTTTAAGTGGAAAATCTAACCTTGTATCTAATAACTTTGAATATGAAGACCATTTATCTTGTGAATATAGCTAAAAGTCATCATTATTACTGTGTTTTGGTTAAAACTTTTAAATATGACTACAATAGCTAAATAACTCTATATCATACTTTTAAAATGATAAATAAGCAGCGATTTTATTTCTCCAACATCGTTTTCTGGATTTTTTTTGTTTGTTTTTACTCTATTTTAATATGACACTTCGGGCAGATATATTGGCAAAAAGGGCTTTAGAGGGAACAATAATAATTACAATTCCTTTTGGGAAAGGGGAAGGTAAATCACTTATTAAGAGTAAAGAAATTGAAAAATGGCAAACGAGGTGGAACGAAGATAAGAAAGGAAGAAGATTATATAAGGTACAAAAATCTGTTTTAAATAGAATCATTAATGAGAGAAACAAAAGGGAAGAAATAATAATGATCAGATAAACAGTGGGTCATACCTATTTAAATTAAAATTTATATTTAATAGGGAGGAAAAATAATGATAAATATGAAGGATGTGGAGAAAAAGAAAGTTTAAGAACATGTATTGATGAACTGGAAAACGTATAAACATGAAAGGGAGAAATTGAAAAGAATGGTTGGAAGGACAGGCAAAGAATGAAGCCTTAAAGGAATATTGGGAAATAAAGAATATTCACAGATTAAGGAAAGCATTATTTATTTATCAACAGAATACAAAGTAAAAATGTTTTATTTGATGTAAAGTAATGTTGCTACACACTCGTGTACAGTAGGTGGCGGTATGCACCTTAAAGTTGCTTGCGATCGGCCATAATAGAAAAGAAGAAGAAGAATATGACACTTCGCTCCCCAGTCCAGCAGGGGGCGGTAATTCGACTGTGAGCCGGTAGCTCCCCGCTGCTGAAGCAGAAACTAGCATCAGGTGATTCCTGCTGGTCAGCTGATCTGCCGTAGACATCTTTACGAGTCACGACTGCGGAGATTAATTCAGACCGTATCCTTTGTCATTTTCAGGTATATTTACGTATTTAACGTTTCTTCATTCATTTAAAATATAAATATTGTTAGCGTTAACTGACTGCGGTCGTTGGCTGCTTTTAAAACCGTGTTTGTGGTCGTTTTTTCCCTCCTGCAGGCCTCGGTGGACCTTTAACAGCGGTGACCATGGCGCTCAGCGATGCCGACGTTCAGAAGCAGGTAACAAAGTGTTCAAACACTCAGCTTTACTCCATTATATCTCATATTGGTAGATTATATTTCGTTTTGCTAATGTATAAACTACGACGTTTTTAAAACGTATTGCTTAGAGCTGTTTTACTTCAGTAAAGATGATGACATTGATAGGTTAAACCTGTCTATAGGTGTTTTAATGGGTTGGTTAATTTATAGTTTCTGTAAACATGGATCTAAAGCTGGGGTGGTGAAGCAGTTATTGTGACCACATTTCCTAACAATCACATGATAACCACACGCTAAGGCCCAGGGAGGAACTTGGTGAGTGATTAAGATGGAAAATAACCTTCAGAGGATCCATTAGGCTGCAAAATGTGTCTGAAGATGGCTGCAAATGTCTAAATCATCTATTTTATGTCTAGGCAGATAAATGCATGGTAAAGTGATCTTAAAGATGAGTTTTTCCAGTTATCTGAAGATATTTGCTTTTATTTTTTTAAATGAGTTAAATATGACTTTATATTCTTGACCAATCAGTGTGAGATTCATTTAGTTTCAGTTGTTCAGTCCAAATATTAAGCATCAAAACCCCTGATGTCACCAAATAACAGGCTGCTTTTTTTTTTAAAGTCACTATAACAACTCCCCCTATGCAGCTCTGTACATTTTTCTCACTTTCAAACTTTACCACGTTATAAAAGTCACAATTAAACTGTTTGTATTCATTTATTTTGGGTTATTATGCAACAGGGAGTGGTGCATGTTAAGTGAAATTAACTTAATCAGGGTTTCTGCATGTCATTAAAAGTCATCAAAAGTCAATAAATTATTATTTTTTAAATTGAGGCTTTAATTGGCATTAAAATTCATTAAATTTGATAACCGTGGCATCAAAATGTTTCGGAAACGAAGCTTGAGGCGGAGAAAAGGCTAGAGAATGGGCGAAATGCAAATTTGAACCAAAGTGGCGGGAAAACGAGGAACTCGGGACATGGCTGCAGCCTGTCCATGGTGAAGATGGTGAAGGATTTTGCAGTGTATATATATATATATATAAGTCATGGGTATTTGTTTATTGCATTAAGATTATTTTTAAGAGCGTTAAAAAGCATTAAATAAGAGTTACTTATTCATGTATTAAACCCTGTTAATGTTTTTATTTAATTATTGTGATAAAGAGTCTAGAAAGGGCTCAGTATCTTTGTAATCTACCCCATTTTATCTCATAATGCAAAATTAAATCCACATCAACAAGCTTTTTTCCAGATGTAAGGTAATTTCTTAAAGGAGTCCACTTAAGAGAGTGAACTCATGCATTTTGAATACAAAGTTTGTTTCTCTTAGATTAGTGCTATGTATCGTATGTAGGGTAGTTGGCAGAGAAAATAAGAGGGTTTTGAGCTGCTATGAATCTGTTTTGCAAACACTACATTCAGTGTTCAAAAGATGTAGTAAAGTAGACCTATAAAGACGTGTTGAACCTTAAGTGTTTGCTGCAAATGAGTAGTACCTAAAAGTCATCATTTAAAAGAGTAGCAACGGAAAAATATGAAAAAACAAACTTTGTGAACATTATTAAGCTCTATTTTACTTGGATTATGAAGCTACTTTACACCTGAGTGGAAAAATAATTGCTAAATAATGTTTAGCGACAGGAAATCTACCAAGAGCAACAGTGCCTGATTTAAATCTAGTTTAATCTCTCTGAACCTTAATGTGTCGTTCCACTGTTGGTTCTTCAAATTTGAAGGTGAGTAGTTTTAGGAAATGCCCTAAAGATCCAGAGATTGCACACAAGCTGCTAGCTTCCGATGAAATTATCTAGTTTTCTTTTCATTTTTTAAGTTTCTTTCTGTCCTTTACAAAATACTAAATTTGGTCTATAAATTTGTATATAGTTACAAATCAAAACTACATGTGACTAATAAGATGTGATAAGATTTTGTTATCATTAAAAAAGTTTTTTTTTTTCTCCTTCTTCTCCTTTTCTTTTTCCACAGATCAAACATATGATGGCCTTCATCGAGCAGGAGGCCAATGAGAAGGCAGAGGAAATTGATGCAAAGGTAAACACACGCTGTCATCGTCACACATTACAGCTTTGACTGGTTGTTTTGTTAATACAGTTAATTGCTCCAATTTCTCACATTTATTTTCTGCCTTCTAATTGGTTTTCTAAACCTTATTGGACATGAGAAATCATATGTTGCCTGCAGGATTTGTTAGTGTTAAACCAGGAAATCTTATTTCTTTTTGTCTAAAATTCAGACAGGGAATATTAAGAAAATCAGCAAAAATCAGGCCTTCATTTTAGTCTTTATTTTATATTATTACCACCATTAAGCAAGTCTTGATATCTATTAAACTTGAAATTGATTCTTGAAAGATTTTGGTACCCAGGGATGGAAAGAATGAGACACACATTAACCCTGCAATTGATACAACCTGCCACTAGAGGGCGGTAAAGGCTGCATATCAATGCAACTGAAATTTTCATCTATAAACTTTTTGTTTGTTTTTCTTAACATATAATGTTTTATATATGTCTAATGTCTATATTGGATATATATTATTGTTTTATGGGTATTTCTACATTTTGATTCTCACGTCTATGTAAAAAATCTTTTTCAACCTATATGGTGCAATAAAACGTTTTTACGTTTAAAAAGATTACGTTTAGATTTAAACTTTATCTTTACATAGAATAACTAAAGAATACTGAATTTTTTTTTAACTTTTTTCACGATTTAATGTAGTAAATTATTTATTGCTTGTTATAATTATGTAAAGAACAATCTGTGCTTCTAATTTTAAAAGTTTTTAAGATCTCAGTAGAGCTAAAAAATGTTTTAACTTCCAAATGTTATCACATAGTTATTACAAAAGCAATTAAGTTATTTTTACCAGATTTAAATGTATTATTTTCTACCCACCCATCCTTTTGTTGTTCAGTATATACATTTTTTAATCAATGAACTTGAAAATCACAAATAATTTTAGAATTTAACTTTAACCGAGCAGCCATATTTTACCTGTACACCATAAACTGAACTCTATAAAAACCTTTCAAAGATGAACTGTGGTGTTTAAAGCCAGCCTGAGTAAGGATGTGTTGGAGGATGAATAAACTACGTTCGTTTCTTTCAATTCAGTAGAAATTACAAATGAAATTCATGGAAACATGTATAATTATATGTATAATTTAATGCTTAAGTCTGAAGAGAGGTTTGTAGAAGTGATCCTTTAGACATGAACTCTTTTTGCAGGCAGAGGAAGAGTTCAACATTGAGAAAGGCCGACTGGTCCAAACCCAGAGGCTGAAGATCATGGAGTACTACGAGAAGAAAGAGAAGCAGATTGAACAGCAGAAGAAAATGTGAGTCATGGCCAGACATCACAGGACGCATCAAGTCTATTTATCTCTCACTTTAGCTGTTTTAAGAACATAGAAGCGGCTGTATACACAGCAGTGTTTCTGTAATTGTATTTAACCGCTTCACCCTGGGGTGCTCTTTAATCAGCCCACCTCCCAACTGTCTGCACGGCTTCTTGGTGGATAAAAATAGTCCCCTTTAGAAATCTAAGCAGCTCCAATGTGTCTGTTATTTGTCTAACAGCCAAATGTCAAACCTGATGAACCAGGCTCGACTGAAGGTGCTGAAGGCCCGTGATGATATGATTTCAGTAAGTGTGAATCCTTTTTTCATCATCCCAAACACACCAATCGGATAAGACTCACAGGTTTGGTGAAAATAATGAACATTAAATATATATGTTTCCCCCGTAGGACATGCTGAACGAGGCTCGCCAGCGGCTCGCTAACATCGCAAAAGATCCAGCCAGGTATTCGGCTCTGATGGACGGATTGATCCTGCAGGTCTGTTTGCTCCCCCTGCTTCAGTTCACATCTGCTTTTCAGTTTAGTGTATTCCAAACCAGTAAGAGAACAAAATATTTTATAAATCCTTCCAACTTGGTAAGAAAAGGATGAAAATTAATATAATTTTTACTACAGAATACAGAAAGAAAATGAGTCTTACCCTCAATTCCTTTCATCACATGGCTGCTACCTTCCACAACTCAGTAACTACATTTTAAGTTTCATATTAACATGCAAGATTACTTAAATAATAATGTACTTAAATAAAAAATCAACATGCATATATGCATCTGTATTTATTATAGCCCCATACGGACATTAGAAATAAAATCAGACCCCTCTGCCTGCTGCCTTTTATTGATAAATATGTGAACAGTGATTGATTTGATCAGTTTTAAAGTTTAACACACTCAGACTAACAAACCTTGTGCTTGTATTTACAATTTCAGCCGCCTTAAGCTATAATTTCAATATTAGTGTGTGATATATTTTTATTGGCTTTCTATAGCAGTTGTGCACTATTAAAAAAACAAAACCAAAAAAAAACTATAAAATAATACAACAGTTGGGACTGCAGGAATGAAGTGAACACAAAATGACCAATTTTTGGATTATGAAATTATTGTCCCAAATTTCTATGGACAAAAACTGAGCATTAAGTTCATTATAATCTGAGAAGTATTTAAATTTATAACTGAGACACTTTTTAGAAACCCTGCTTTCAATAGTTATTCCCCAGAATCTAATTTCTCATGCATTGTCGATACAAAAATATCTGTATTATCAATGTAATTTCCTAAGAAGTTCACTTCAGTTTTACATAAATTTAGAGATAATTTATCAAATAATGATTTTAGTTTGACTGGTTCATTAATTCTTATCACTATAACCAACCAATATATTCTTCTGTAAAAATGACTGGATTCATTTGAGGCTGTCTGATGTGATTCAATTCAATTCAGTTTATTTATATAGCGTCAATTCACAATACATGTCATCTCAAGGAACTTTATAGTTCAACCAGATCATCCAGTCAAGTTGATTCAAAGTTTTCTATCTAAGGAAAACCAGTTGATTGCATCGACTCATTGAATCAAATACAATCACTCACACTAAGCATGCTTAGTGTGAGGGATTGAGCATGATGTGGTCAAAAATAGAAAAGAATAGAATAAAATAGAAAATCCCTTTATTTTCGCACAATGGGAAAATTGCCAAAGATTAAAGCAAAAGTGGACACACAATCTGGACCTTAAAAATAATAAATGTTTTGCTATATAATCCTTTCATGTCCACCTATCAGTAATTATAAATAATTATATTGTTTTTTTTTTCTGCTGACTTTGAAATAAGGACCAGGAGAAAAAAATAGTTTAAATTTAAACTATTTAGCCTTTTAACCAACTACCATCTTTGCTTAGATTGACTGAAAGGTTGAAAGGCTAAATCCTTTCCCCTTTATTCCAGGGAAGTTATTAAAAATCTAATCAGATGTATTTTTATGGCCAGACTCTAGTTTCATCCACAAATGGGGTTAATTTTGATAAGATGCATCATAAGGTAATTTCAATACATGAATTAAATGGCACAGATGAACACAGATCCCTGCGGGACGCCACATATGATGGACAAATTACCTGATTTAAATCTTCTTTAATCTTAAAGCCTTTTTTTTTTAGTCAAATACTCCTGCTGTATTTTTTTTTCTATGGAATATATTTATGATCTGCAGAATCAATTATTTTCATTTTTTTTTAAAGGCTGTTTTTTTGTTATTGAAAAACTCATTTTTAGGTTAAATTTCATAGACTGTAATAATGGAATATATTTTATTGGCTTCATTAAGTCAGACAGACACAGTTATCTGTTGAGTATTAGCCCGCATTATTAGATTTACTGGGAACTTTCTTGAATTTGCCAGCAAATAACTTAATTGTATTATTCTGTACAATGATCGCATCCGTGGCATACAGATATTTCCATGCTTCTTAGAATGACTCTGAGCTTTCTGTTGTTTTAGATTTTACCCGTTTGGAGCATGTGAGTCTAATTACTGTTTGGGGTACTAGTTTGAAAAACAATCAGCTGCAGAATCTCTATCTGAAAATGGACCCATTGTTTCTGTGAAACAGATTCTGCAAGCTGCAGGTTTTCTCTATCCAGTCTGAGATAGGAGTCACTTTGTTTAATTTAAGAGGTGTGCACACCTTTCTGAAATGCATGGTTGCATAAGGCTTAGTTGATTTAAATTGTTCACATTTGTGCTTCACTAACTTAGTGCTTTGCTTCGGTTGACCATATTTAGTCTCAAGTGTTTTAGCTGTTTTAGTAAGGACGGCTGTGTTCTGTTTTTATGACGCCTTCTTGTCTGTTTGCCACTAAAACACCCAACAGAAAATACAATGACGTTAAAACTTTGACTTTTTTTTTAAATAATCTTTCATATTAGGGATTCTATCAGCTGCTGGAGACCAAAGTGACCATCCGCTGTCGTAAACAGGACGTTCAGATGGTGCAGGTGGGTAAACTGTAACAGTTATTTAAAAATATTTGGGAGAGGAAACTTTTTAAACTATTTTGCTAATGTTTTATATTTTTACCTTCGACATGGCTATGTTAAATATTCAACTACTATGTAAAAACTTTGTTTTTTAAGGCTTCCATTCAGAAGAACATCCCCATTTATAAAGCAGCTGTGAAGAACAACCTAGAGGTCCGGATCGACCAGGACAACTTCCTCTCCTCAGACGTGTACGCTGCACCTCCCCTCCTAGAACACGGCTCACATTATTCATCTTTAAATTATTTGTTTCGTTTTTCCTTTTGCGTCCCTGCAGGTCTGGAGGTATTGAGATCTATAACAGTGATGGGAAAATTAAAGTGTCCAACACCCTGGAGAGCAGACTGGACCTAATGGCTCAGCAGGTGGGAAACACTTCCTCTAATTTAGGATTTTAGTTTTTTTTTTAATAAAGCTGCTGCTTTATTGCGAGCAGAATGAACTTTGAGGATTGAGATTTGTAAAGATGGAGGGACTCAGTTTTCAATCTGTGTTGTAAGGATCATCTGTTGTCACCTGATTCCTAAAACTGGAACTTTGTTTGCAGATGATGCCGGAAATTCGAGTGGTTCTCTTCGGCGCCAACCCCAACCGCAAGTTTTTGGATTGAGTCCCGTGTTTGAGAAGAAACACTTATTTTTATTTTGTACATGTCATGGAAGATATCATTCCTTTGTCTGTGAAACGGAATTGCTGATGCACATAAAGACGTGTTGTTTGTGTGATGTATTGCTGTTTGTCTCCTGACGGCGGCGCTCGCCGCAGCTGTGGGGACGGGTTCATTCTCTGTGGTCTGTTTACAGCGAAGGGTCAGGATGTTTAACAGGTTCTACTCTAATTGGATCACTTCATGACAAAAACAGCTTCTGTGTCACGGTTTCTGCTCATTATGTAAACCTGTCAGCACATTAAAAGCTGCATGGGCCATTGTGTAGCTAATGGGTGTCTGCTCCAACCTATCACAGACAAATAAATGGTCTCCTAGAAACGAAACCAAACCCCGTACACAACCTTAACGACTTAATTTATCGGTGTTACATCAAGTGTAAGTTCTTCTTGAAAAGTGAGCGATATCATTCCAGACGATGTGCTGTTTGTATATGAGGTTTCCAGATTAAATTATGTTGGTGTGCTTGTTTTTTTCTCTTGTTTCTGTTTGTGATCGTCTCCAACTGAAAAATGTTCAATGAGTAAATGTATAAACAACATAAAGACGTCTAAATGATTAGCCCTTCCTGTGTGCTCCTCTTTTTGACTCATCCAGCCCATTCATGCCTCCTTCATTAGTTTATCACATGGTATTAGTCAGACAAAAATGCCCCAATTATCCAGCCGCTGAGAGTATTTCGCTGACAGGCTCAGCCGCTGCAGTTGGTTTCAGCGAAAACAAGCATTTGGACAGAAGCAGGACGCCCGGAACTGCTGTACGGTTGTAAGTATTTTTTTTTTATTTAGGAACTTAAAGGATGTTTTTCATCATGAATGTTTTTAAACTGGATTTTATGAATCATCTGATTTATTTCTATGTAATTTTATTGGAAACAACCTAGTAAAACTTCTAGTTATGATTACTCAATTTCTTTTTCCCCCTTTCCAGCACAAACGTGCATACATTTGCTCGTTTGCAGCATGTTTCAGTAGGACTCTCGCCCTGTTCGGCGGGGTAAAAAGGACATGGTGAAATCACTCTGCCTGGCTCTGCTCACCTTTGTTCCCCTGCTGTGGTTTCTGAGGGAATCTGATGGGATGCCGGACCCCACTCGCCGGGACCTGCTGATGCGCGAGGAGGTGTCCAGGCAGACGGGAGGCCTGTTGACGCTAACGCCGGCAGAGCAGAAGCTGGATGCTTACCTGCATCGGTTGAAGGAGCAGGAGATGGCAGCTACACCGTTTCCTCCTGCTTTACACTTCTTCAAGGCTAAGCCTTTCATTGAGAGGAGCTCAATCTACAAACTGCTGCAGAAGATGCCGAAAGGTGACGTTAACCACGACTATATAAACACGTTCACCAAACAGTTGGTTAACTCACCCATCAGAAATCCTCATTAACAATTTAAACCAAATGCTGCTAGTAGAGTAAAAGATTTGCAATTTCAGCCTTTCCTTTAAAGAGTCTTTTTTTCCCTTAGAATTTTGACTAGATTCTAGTTTAGAGAGTATCAATGTATTGGAATATGGTTGGTTCGCTGACTAGTGGGTTGTTTGTCTTTTTGGCTTGTTTTTATTATCAGTATCCTACAAAAAGTCCAGTGATGACCCAACTTTAGTAGTTTTTAGGGAAGGCAATAATCCACTGATATAAGAGCGAAAGTTACCATACATTTTAGAACTTAAAACTTTGAAGAGAAGTAGGCCCACAGCACCAGAGAACCTCCACTCTACCTTAAAGTAGACATGAGTTGCCTTTGTTTCTAATGGAAGTATTAAATGTGCTATTTAGTTAACATTAAAAAAAAAATGCTGTATGCATTCTCACTCAAGGTCAAATTGTAAAATCTTATGTCCCTAAACCCGAACTGTTCAACCATTTGCACCTCTGTATTTCTTATGCTAGACTTAATGTTTTTTTTGTTTTGTTTTTTTCCCTGGTTCGGCTGTGACACAAAGATTTAAATCAAGAATGAATCGGCAGCTATCGGGTCTGTTTAAACACCGACCCGATAGCTGCAGAGTCACATAAAATATTTTATTTTTACTCTTAACAATGATACAGGTGTTTCTATGCTTTCTTTATCTGCAATTTTTCCTCTACTTTTATCACCCTGCTATAAAGAAAGATGCATCCTGCACAAAAACGGCAGCAAACATTTTTCCAAAAGCCCCAGTGTATGTAGGCTGTTTGTAGATGCAGATAAATTATCTTTATCTTGGTCATTATGTTTAACTTGGCGCCATTCCTGTGTGTTTGGAGCTTCCTTCTTTCATCGTTCAGTTTAATGGTTGCCTATAAGGAAGAGGTGAGAGTAACAAAGCTTGTTTGATTTTGGAGAAGGATGATTCTCCATCATTTAGTTCTTCCTGATCTACGTAAATATAACTTTCCTTCAGATTAGAATCACCAGTGATATTTCAGAAACAGCTTTTTTGTGTGCAACAGTTGTTTTTCCTATGAGTTTCTGAGTTTTCAGCCTTTTGTTTCTGAAAAAATAGGCTTCCTGTGCTGTTTAAAAATGGGGAAGATAAAACCTGAAACCTTTTCTAATGTCTTAAATTACCATCATTACTCATCCAACCAATGAATCCATCACCCCCATCAATCCCCCATCTCTCTGTACATCCTACTGTCCTTCATCTATCAGCCCATTAGCTAACTATCCATCAGTCCATGCTTATCCTAATTTGTCCAGCCATTTTTTGACTAAATTCTATTCAGTTCAATTCTATAGCGCCAATTCACAACATGTCATCTCATGGCACTTTACAGTTCACCAGATCATCCAGTCAAATTGATTCAAACTTTTCTAAGGAAAACCAGTTGTTGCATCGACTCATTGACTTGAAGGCAATCCCTCACACTAAGCATGCTTGTAGCGACAGTGGAGAGGAAAAACTCCCTTTTTGCAGGAAGAAACCTCCAGCAGAACCAGGCTCAGTGTGAGCGGCCATCTGCAGAGAGCAGAGAGAACTAACAGATTCTGCAGAGTGGGAGAAAGAATGATGAAAAAGGGGTCCCTATGTCCTCCAGCAGTTTAAGCCTATAGCAGCATAACTATAGAGATAGCTCAGGATAACCTGAGCCACTCTAACAATAAGTTTTATCAAAAAGGAAGGATTTAAGCCTAACCTTAAAAGTAGACGGGGTGTCTGCCTCATGGACTAAAACTGGGCCACAGGAGAGGAGCCTGATAACTAAAAGATCTGCCTCCCATTCCACTTTTAGAAAGTCAAGAACCACCAGTAAACCTGCAGATTGAGAGCGAAGTGCTCTGTTAGGATTATGTCTATCTTTGTTCCTTCTTACCAAATCTGAAGTCAAAATTCAATATGTTTCCCACAATTTTAAAAATTTTAGAATTGACTTTCATTTATATGAAATCCAAAGAAAAACATGGTCATTAGCTTACACTGCTAGTGGTTAGCTTAGCACTGGTTCTCCCTAGAGCAAACTTTTTAGAACGGAACCATTTTGCATGAGTTTCAGTTACTAAATCTGCAATTTGAGGGGCTAAAAACCCTGTATATATTGGAAGTATTGGGGGAAAAAGGAAGTGAATAATGGCATAAATAAAAAGCAATGTGTTTTTTGAATATAATTAGGACACTGAAGTTTATAAAAATTGGCCAAGTAGTTATAATCCTTGTGTCGTATGAGTCCTTGTCATTTGCAGCTGTTTGCTCTGCCCACAGGTGCGGCGCTCCACATCCACAGCTCATCTCTGGTCAGCGCCGAATGGCTGGTAAAAAATGTTACCTACAGACCTCACTGCTACATCTGCTTCACGTGGGACAACTCGGTCCGTTTCCTGTTCTCCAATCGACAGCCCTTCCCTCGATGGGACTGCTTCTACTGGCAGCTGCTGGAGTCGCTACGGGCCAGGATAGAGGACAATGCAGCATTTGACAACAGGTAAGAATAAAGCTTTGATGTTTAAAGGTAGAACATGAGCTGAAATATTCAACTTCTGGTGTTTTTTAGTTTAATCCAGCACCTCACACTGTTTACTGAGGATCCAGATGGTGAATATCCAAACCAAGATGTTGTGTGGGAGAAGTTTGAGAAGGCCTTCATTGCTACTGCAGGGTTAGTCGCACACGCTCCTATTCTGAGGGACTACATCTACCAGGGCTTAGAGGAGCTTCACAAAGACAACGTCATGTATCTGGAGCTGAGGAGTGGCCTATCAAGGGTTGGTTTTCTTTCTAGAAGATCTATTGTAGTTTATTTTATTTTTTTTATACATTTCATCTGTACAATGTCCTTTCTTGTCCTGATTGCAGACGTACGAGCTTGATGGAACCATTCATGACAAGATTTGGACTCTGAAGATGTTCCAGGAAGTCACATCAAAGTTCAAACAAAATCATCCAGATTTTTTCGGGGCCCGCATCATAATTTCTGTCCACAGGTAAAATGTTGTTCAGATATAAAGATATAATCTGGCTATATTGAAAGGTTTCACTGTTGAAGCAAATACCAGGGGTGCTTTTGAACAATTTCAACACCAAAAAACATACTTCAGTTAAAGTGGAAGCGGCGTGCATCCATTTCCTCACTTTATTGTTACGGCTTATTATATTCAACTAAAATTGAATTCATCATCTCATGGTTGAAGCAGAAATAGCTGCTCAAAGATGGCTATGAAAGAAGAAAAGCCTTTTACTGTCCAGTTTCTAAAGTCTTTGAGACATTTTGATTTAAGGAGCCAACTAAGATATGTAATAAAATACTTCAAAGCACATATCTTATTGAATATGAGACAGGCTGACTTTATTTTATATGTAATAAATTTTACTAAGCCACTTAATCGGAAACAGACCGTATCTGTTAAATGGTTGCCAAACAGTTAATGGTTTCTAGGTTGTTGCATTGGATTGATTGTCTGAGTTTTCTATGAAGTTTAAATTACATTAGTTAAAGTTTCCTTTCTGTAGGGGCTGGAAATTACCAGTCATCTAAACTAGCCCACTCCACTATGGTTATATCATTTTCGGAGCAGATGTTGTCTCAGTTGTACATGCCTCCTATTTTAGATGACACTTCGACAACTTCCTTGAAAACCTATAAAGATTAAACAATATAAAATGCTGGAAAACAAAATGTACTTAAAGAAGAAAAGATGAAATCATTGCCTTTGCTCTGAATGGACTTTCTTTGGTTCTAAAGTCTCTCGCTGAGAATTTGGATTTATGTATCCAAATTGTTGGTTCATTCATGTTTTTATTGCTGTTGTACTTTTTCCTCCCATACTGTGGAACACAAACTAGTCTGAAAATCATTTACCAAAGCTGCTCACGTTGTTCCACTGTAGCCTTCCATCCGAGATCCTGGTTTAGCTTTTAGAGCTCCACCTGGACAAACACATCTCCCACTTTAATGTTTGCAGGTCCCTGATGATCAGGGACCTGCGAATGATGAGTAATTCATTTGATTTTAGTTTTAAACAATCATTAATAAAGGCATTTTGTTTAAAAATAAAACTATTATCCATCAGTTTACTATTATTTTGAAATGTACAGCCTCGGATTCATGCTCCTTTTTTATTAGACAGAAGCTACATGCTCAGTATTGAGGACCATGACTGTTGTTACAGTCTGGTCAGGTCCGCATTAGCAGATGGTTTGTCCTAAATGGTTGCAATAGTTCATGTCAGGAATAAGTTGGTTTGGAAAAGACTCAAGCATCACCAACAGCATAGGGGAAACGGGCAGCAGCAGAGTTTAGCAAAGCTAAGCTAATGTGCTCATTAGCACCAAGTGGGAAAGCAACAAACCTGTGGATCATTACAAATGAGTATAAAAAGTCATAATTTAAAAAAAAGAATTTTCAATTTATTGCTCTCCAAATGCTAAAAATGTTTTTTTATTTATTTATTTTTTTAAGTTTCATAATTAACGCATCATATTTTAGTTTGAATAAATCTATTTTTTCCGTTGTTTTGATTTAAGGTTGAATTTAAAGATAATGACAATGGACTCTGGAACTTCATGCACTCTTTTGCTCCTTGTAAGACGCAGCATCAATTATGTCTGATTTCTAATGGTGCTGCGCAGCACTTGGTGATTGCATGCCTTAAAGGTGCCTTTCTGCTCACATGAAACTAGGCCCCCTGGGCCTTCTGGCCCTGTGGGGACCCCACTTGGTGATGGTGGGCCCTCAGATCCCGGGACTTTCATCCAGAGCCACCTTGGGCATGAACAACCTCTAGTGGAGCCAATGGGCTTGCTGCCGCAGCCCCTTCGGATCTATGGCCTCCAGGTTCGGGCCCCTTTGGGGTTTGGCCCCTCGAGCTTTGGGCTCCAGGTGCTCTTGTCTGCCCTTCTCTGGTGGCTGCAGCCATCCTTATGTTTGCCCTCCTTGTGTCCCAGTGATAGGGGTGCCTCTTGATAATAGGGCTCACGTTGCCTCTTTTTCTGTTCTGGGCCCTGTAGGGCTAGTCTGTGGCCCCCAACACCTGCTATTAAGCAGACTTTCCTTCTCAAGAAGCTTTGTGAATCCTTAATACGCAAACATGCTCATGCATTTGGTTTCAGGTGTTCACGGATACAAACTAATCCTAAATACCAAGCTGCGACTACAGATATTTACCACCCTGAATAATATGGTGTAATCACCTTAGGTTCTGATTGATGGAACATAGAAAGGATTCCCGCTTTTACTTTGGTTGTCTGTCATCTTCTTTTTGCTGTAATAATCTCTGTTTTCTGTTCCTCTTGTCTCATACATTTCTTATAAAAGTATAATGCAGAACCTTATGGCAATAGTCATACTGGTTTACTTGTGAAAGCAAAGCTGTTTTGCTATCAGCTAGCTCTGGGACAC